ATGAGGCCAAAGGCCTGGAGAGATTATATGAGGTATCACTTTGCTATTCTGTGTCTGAACTGATATTGAAATCCAGAACTGTTCCCCGGTCTTTTGCCTTTCTACTTGTCTTGCTTATGGATTAATCTGTTTATCAGGGAAGCCCTGGTAGTGTGGGGGATTGTGAACTGGTCTGCTTACCAAAAGGTCAACAGTTCAAATCGCATAGTTGTTCCATGGGCTAAAGATGAGGCTTTCTGCTTTTGTAAAGATTTGTAGCCTCAGAAATCCTATGCACAGTTACTATGAGTCAAAACTGATTCCGTGGTACACAATTTTTCAATAATATACTTTATTTTCCAATAAAATATTTTACCTGGAAGACAGGGAGGAAAATTTCACCCTTTCTAAGTGAAAAGCTTACAGCTGGACCTGGAGAATATGTGTCTAGCATTCTGTTTCTCTATTAGTGTGGCTTGCATGATACATAAGCAGCAAATTCTCGGTCATGCTAACCAACCTATAAACATAATTCCTATATAAAGAGATCACCTGATGTTAGCTGGCTTCATCTCTTATGCATTGGCTTTCACTTGCATGTGTTTTAAACAAACAATCCCATCAAAGTAGTAGGTCTCTTGAACATTTTCCAAGGGATAGCTGGTGAGCTTGAACCACTGACCTTGTAGTTCAAACCAACTTTGCAGTCCAAAGCATTAGTTCACAATGCCAGTGACTTAAGCTTAGCCACTAACCACAAGGTCAGCAGTTCAAATCTACCATTCAAGCCAGGGGAGAAAGATAAAGTTTCTGCTTCCATAAAGATTTACAGCCAAGAAATCTTGCACATGGTTGTTATGACTTGTAACTGAATCAGTGGCACACAAACATCAACCACCATTAAGTCAGTGTAAGGAAGCCAGAATAAGGAAGATCATAGAAGGATTGATGCATTTGTACTATGGTGTTAGAGAAGAAGATTAAAAGTACCAGGGACTGCCAGGAGGATAAACAAGTCTGTTGGAAGAAGTGCAACCAGAATGCTTACAGACTTCATCTGTCATACTTTGGGCATGTAATTATGAGAGACCAATCCCTGGAAATGGATTTCATGTTTGGTAAAGTGGAGGGTCAGCAAAGAAGAGGAAGACCCCAACAAGATAGTCTGACGAGTAAGAAAACGATGTGAGGTTGGTGCAGGACTGGGCAGTGCTTCATTCTGTTGTATCAGGTTGCTATGAGTTAGAACCAACAAAATGGCCCCTCACAACAACAGCAACAACAAAATTAAGCCAGACTGCTTCATTTAAGCCAGACTGCTTCAGCTGTAAGCTACAGAAAGAAAACAAAAATTTAAATATGTATTGTTTATAAAAGGGGACAACAACAGAGATGAAATACACATCTATGATCATTGTAAAATGCTAGAATTATCATAATTATTATGCAGTCAATAAATAACTGTGATAACTACCTTTTTAAAAGGGATCTTTAGCATATTTACACTATCCCACTAGAACAATATCAACAAATGAAAAAAAAAAAAAAAAGTATGGAAGACCACTTCCTTATCCCCTGAAAATGGCCTCACAATCCTTCTCTAGCAGCCATTTTTTGGAAGTTAATTGGAGTTTGTATTTGAGATAAAAACTGTTGTTCATTTCACTAGTAAAGTCCCCTTACTCTCCTGATCTGCAATTACTATTGCCTGCACAAAAGTGACACTGCATACATGGTTGTGAATGAATATGTGGTTCAGAAATGTTAAACATAAATTTACACAAGTGAATAATTTTCAAAAGACTTATATGTGGGAGGTGGTAGTGGTCATGTGCGTCAAATCAGTTCTGACTCAGTATTACTGTATAAGGTTTTTAAGGCTATAAATATGGGAGCAGAAAGTCTCATCTTTCTCCTATAGAGTGGCTGCTAGATTCAAACTGCTGTGTGGTTGTAGTAAGCAGGCCTAACTCATAACCCATTATACTACCACGGCTCCTCAAAAGTGGCTAGGTCATATACACACAGAAAAAGGTTAATTTGGTTTATAATTTCAAAGGAAGGAAAAGGAAAATAATTTTTAGTAGTTCTGCAAATATTTCTTAAAAACAGTTATAATTTAAAGTTAGTGAAGTTGAGGGGAAACACTACTCACATAGGTAGCTGATAATACAATTTATTACAGTTTTTCAGGATGGCAAGCAGTGTATCAAAATCATGAAAACAGGACTAGACCTAGGAAGTCTACTTGTGGAAATATGAAAAAAATGTAATTTGTTTAAATATTTAGCTATGAGGAAGTTCTCTCCAGTAAAACATTAAAAAAACAAAAACAAAAAAAAACTAGTATACTATTTTTCTCACCAATGTTCAAGAATTGGTTAAATATTTGATGATCTTTATGTAATGAAAGAGTGCACTACTATTAGAAATTATTCAGAGGTTTACTATGTATTATTAAGTGACACAATGAGATTATAAAATAGTGTTTATATTTTTGTCTCTTTTTGTAATTGTATGTGTATATGTACATAAACCCTAATAAAGGGTCAAGATATGCCAATATGTTAGGATTTGTTATTGCCTGATTGTATATTGGAATTATCTTTTTGTTCCATTTGTTTTATTTCATTTTTTTTTCAATGTGGTAAAAAAAATTGCCATTTTCAACAGTATAATATAATTCAGTAACATTAATTATGTTCATCACCAGTACTATTAATCATTTCCAAATTTTTCCATTATCTCTAACAAAAACACAACATCTCCTAAGGTATTAGTCACGCACACATGTATAAATGATCACAAATTGGCTTAGTAGTAAGGAAAAGTTTTTAATACTTACAAAAATTGCTACCCAGTGAAATTTGGACTTTTTTTCTTGATATATGCTCCTATAGTAATGAGAACATTCCAAAACATTCAATTGATGATTCTTTTTTAAATAATAGCCTATTTCAGCATGTAAACATTAGAAGTCCTCTAGAAGGATTTCAATAGTGAGGACTGGGAAAGCAAGTCTTAAAATCAGGTCTCTTATTCACATATTCTTTCCCTCTCTCTTTAAATCATACCCTTTTCATTAAAATTCTGAAGGGAAAATAATGCTAGACATCTTATACAAATAGTTTGTTATAGAAGGCAAATACAAGTCAATTTATAATTTATTTAGGTTCTCAACATTTGCTTTTTTTTTTTTATCATTTCTTACTGTAAAGATAATAAATGCTTGATCATTACACGAAAAATTGGAAAGTACAGAAATTTTCAAAGGATTAGGGAGGATGGTATTAATGTGGCATGCTTGTATTTATGTCATTTTTGCATGTTTCAAGATACTATATTAAGTAGTTGAAATAACATTGTGTGTGCAATTTTATGTTGTTTAATCTCCTAATAAAAGTGCATCATAAGTATTTTCTCAGCATATTATTTAAGAATAACTACTGTGTGTGTACGATAAGCACTGGACCACAAAGTTGGTTTGAACTGCAAGGTTGGCAGTTCAAACTCACCAACTACTCCTTAGAAACCCTATACAGGGTCGGTATGAGTCAGAACTAATGAGATGGCACTTAACAAAAACTGTGCTGCTAGGACTCCTGGTGTGGTGCTGTGGGATAATGTGCTGCACTGCAAGGTCAGTCTCAACCGCAATGTTGGCGGTTCAATCTCATCAGCCCTCCTCAGAAACCCAATACAGGGTCACTATGAGTTGGAACTGACTTGACTACATATAACAACAACAATAACAACAGCTGTGCTACTGTATGCTAGGAACGTCTTTCTCATTCATGCTTTCATTTGGCAATAACCTTGACTGCCTACTATGTGCCTAACATTGCTGAATTCAAGATGTAAAATGGTAGTGAAAATAAGCTTGATCCCAGCCTTCACAGAGTGTACAGCCAGAGGAACAAGCTACTGTCTTGCTGAGTCCATTGTAAGACTCAGCAAACATAATGAGCGATTTGATAAATATTAATGTCACTGAATTGAACAGGTGAAGAAGTTGTTGAAATGACAATTTTGTTATATACATATTTGCCACAACAATAGTAAAAATAAGTAAATAAATAATAAACAGCATAATCATAAATTAAAAGTAAAGTGTCAATGTTAACTAGAGTCACATAATGAGCTACACTATGGCTTTGGTCACTTCCTCTTTTTTTCCCTTTATTGTTCCTTAATTACTTTTACTGTCTCATGAGAAATAAATAGAATTAGCAATTCATGACAATTGCTTCCAATATCAGCTAAGATATACTAAGAAGAATAATATCTCCTTTCCCCAGAAGATCAACTTAACAAATTAAAACAGAGAACATAGTAACACTTCCCAAGCATGCTCAACTATTGCATACTTATTAAAGATTAGAAAGGAATATTTATATTGAATAAATTTCAAATGAGGTAAACAAGGGAAATTTTCAGAATGTTTAATAACAAGAACAGAAAATTCAGAAGAAGGCTCCCAGTTGATCTAAGCATCAAGACCTCAGCAATATCTCAGTTGCTGAATCTGGGAGACCTGGCTGAGAAATCCAGTCCAGAAACATAGGTTACTATCATAGTAAGAGTATTCAGGTTGTTCCGGGCAGCAACAAATCACCAAATAGTGTGAAAGTGTTTAAAGAATGCGCTATCATGAGTGTCTATATATCATATGCTGTCGTTGTTAAGTGCCATTGAGTCAGCTCTGACTCATAGTGACCCTGCATAGGGTTTTAAAGAAACAACTGGTGGGTTTAAACTACCGACCTTGTGGTTTGCAGCCTAGTGATTATCCTACAGCACCACACCAAGAGTCCTGTATACTGTATAGATAGAAGATAGGGAAAGGGGAGGGTCAGTAATTTGAGGAATAGGAAACTTTTGATCATTTTCAAATATAAAGTCCAGAGAAGCAACTCACCTTAGTCATATTCCTTAAAAGGTACTATCCGAACTTTGTGTATTATATGAACTTTGAACAGTATATATAATAATGTATATAATACTTTGCTCTACTCTTTTAGCTTTTCTTACTGGAAAAAGCTGGATTTGGAGGCGTTCTTCTATATATTGATCCTTGTGATTTACCAAAGAGTGCAAATCTTAGGCATGATGCTTTCATGGTGTCACTGAATCCAGGAGGAGATCCTTCGACACCTGGTTATCCAAGTGTTGGTAAGTTCATTATTAATCTTTATTATTCTTGTAATCATTATAACATTACAATTTATAAATTCATGATACTTACTTACAAAAGAGGAAATGAAGTTGAAGAAGTGTTCTTACTGCGCTGTTTTTTAAAGTGAAGTTTTTATCTTTACTAAATGAGAAACTACCAATTTGTTGCAATAAACTTTAAAAAAACATCTATAATAGATATTTATCTCAACAGATTTTGGTGTCATGAACACAGTGCAAAAATGTTTTATGTATCATTATCAAATCAGTTGATACGACAAGTTTATATGAGAGTAGGTATTCAAAGTAGATATTCTAAGTAGGTATTCTAAGGTGGATCTTGGCTGAAAGCAGAGAATATCAGAAGGATGTTTACCTATGCTTTATTGACTACATGAAGGCTTTTGATTGTGTGGATCATGACAAGC